TGAATTCCTGCAGTCACAAAAGCTTTAAGTCAAGGGTTGCTAGTATTTTGATAAAATCTAAAACAATTTCATCTCTACGTCACAACCCAGTGATTTAAATTCCAAATTATTACGGCTGGAGTGGTTCACCATGTAGAATGGTCACTGTTGACTTACAAAGTTGCACACACATTATGATTCATAGCTGGGTTAGATCGCATAAGTCGTAACACGTGTCAAACTCTCCTCCACTTGACACCACCAATTAATAAACTTGTCACGTACCAATGTATCCAAAGGAGGTTTTTTGGGTTAGATCGCGTAAGTATATAAATGTGTTGTCAACACCCGCCACCACCTGACACAGCCAACTAGTAAGGGTTGTCATGTAAACAGAACGTGCCAAATCGTCACTAGTACAGCACACCGGTGTATTGGAGAGCCAAGCCAAAACATTTACGACACAATCAATAACATTACAAAAAAATATCAATTACGAATCATAAAACTGATCGCGAAAGCCTACGTGTTAAAGTCTACAAATATTAGCAGCCCTGAAAGAACCAATAGACGAGTTGATCCAAACACTGGGACTCAACAACAAACACCCCAGCTATTTGTTGTTGAGGTACTTTCACAAAATTATTTAAACAACATAACTACCAAAAGCACACCTTCCATTTAAATCACGTGTCCAGGTAAAAAAAAACTTTTACTTTACCAGGGTAAGGCCCACTGAGCTAGAGCTCTTTTCATAAGCAACCTGGCCACAAAATGATAGCTCAAAGAAGTGGCTTATCACGTGGAAATGTATCACGGCCAAAAATCTGGAGCGAAGGAAAAACTAGAGAACCCGGAGAAAAATCCACACGACCACGGGAAGAGAGAGGACATTTAGACACCAAAATATACAGCAGGCGTCAAGTTGAATATCGAAGACGCGCATCAAAGGCAGCTGTGGCATTCACTATCTGCGCACATAGGTGCCGAAAAGACTTAATCGCATGACAGGCAATACCAACAGCACTCGCCAAATCAACTTAACACGTGACCTTTGCAATTATCAATGGCAATTCCATTTCACGTACTGCTGCACAGCTGCAAAAAAATGTTATAATGTAACACAAAGCGCTGAGCAGAAGCTATTATCGTCGACATTACTGCAAGACACACCATACTTTACAAATGAACTCTGTTACGTTCAAAAGCCAAACTTTTAAAGCCCCCATCGCCCCCCCCCTCTCCACCGTTTGAAATGGGCACAAGTTTGGTGGCTCATATCTCTCGCAGGCTCCCAGAGCCAATGGTGGAAATTCCACATTTCAATGGCAGTCGCCAGTGTCTGCATTTGACAACTATTACTGGGGCTTTACATATAATATAATATAACATAATATAATTTAATTATTGACTTTACATGACAAGCTCGTGACGATTGGGGCAAAGACACTGCTTGGCCAGGACTTTTAACTCGTTACCTGCCAATTGTGTCTAATCATCGCACCAAGGACTGCAAAATCCACATCACTCCACGATAAACCGTACATCAACATAAGTGCGGCGGTATCAGTAGTATCGATAATGTAACAAATGAGCAGCAACATGGTGACATCAACGGTAATGGCAGTGACAGACTGGATATTACAAACGCATCGATGGCATGAACACATTTGGAACAATTTACTACGCCAAAAAATTGATGATAATCGCGGGAAAATAAGCAGCCTGACACAGCGATAACAACAAATTAAGCCGACGAGAACATCACGCGGGATTGACCAAAGGGTTTGGGAGAGGCATTAGGAAAGGTTAAACTAAAAAAAAAGACAACTCAAGGCGTATCATCACGATCGCCAGGGTTCACACTTCAATCAATGCGAGTCGCATTCATGTAACGCAAGTACAGAGCGGGCTGCTTTTCAAGTCCTATTTAAAAAAAAGATTTCGATTCAGGAGTTCAATCGCTCCACTAATTATTGCCTCAACAGTAAACGTATTCCCAGCTCAAAGCCAAGCAGTGCGCCTGCAGAGCACCGGAAGGTGAAGCGCTTTTAAAAAGGGAAAAGCCGTCCTGGAATTGCGAGTGTAAATTTCTTTAAAAACCAAATGCAATAAATTTGAACCCGGTTGTAAAAAGTTGACACGAACAGAGATAAATTTCATTTATAGACATCTGTGCATTGAAATTCAAGTGACCTATGCTGAAGCAGTGCTTATTATATATATTTTTTAATACATAAACGTTGGATGAATATGGAAAGATCACAATTTATACCCACTTCTTTTGAACAAAATACCTTTAAGACTATCTAGCCTTTGGTAAATTTTGAGTGAATCGTCAGCAGTTAAACTGCCGTGTTCCAGTGCCAAAATCACAATCGGAAGGTCTCAAGTTAAAATTCCGGTCACGGTCTGACTCGATCAATCACCACCTGTCCAGAGTCAATACAATATAAAGAGTTTGTTGTCAAGCCAACAGCTGTCATCCCAAACGGAGTGTCCTGCTCCCACCACGTGAACGTGGACTTTCCAACGCCACCTTCCCTCCCCGGCTGCCAACCGTAATGAACGCTGCACCACCGACGCCTGTCGAGCACTGGGAGCGACCACTCCCTCACGAGCATGACGCACGGATTTTGAGGGCCCACACGTCAGCTGCACCGTTCCGTTCCCTGAGTTTCAAGTCTGCGCTGCACCATCAGACGCAGGCCCGGGGTTGCGGCGGCAACGAGCCCTGGCATCTACCTCGTATCGTGCGAAGGCGATGTCCACGCCCCACCTTGCCCCACCCTTGTCTTGCCCCCCTCCCCCGCTGGTATCGCCCACGGGCTGACCGGCGACGCCTTGAGAAAAAAATCTGGGCGGCGGCCAGCGGAGAGCGATCGGCTCGCGCGCGAGCTCACCGGCAGCGGGGGCGTGATTAATAGGGCCCACTGGCATACGCATCGCTCTTCAACGCCACTTCCTAATGGAGTTGCAACCCAGCGGCGCACGGCCTGCTCTATCAGAATAATGCCCCTGCTTGTGTGTGTGTGTGTGTTTTTTTATGAATGAACAGACTACATGTTGCATATGCTCGCTGGTCAAAGGAAAACAAACCACACCCACAGAAGTGGCATTTGCGCATGTGGTCACTTAAAAATGTGGGAGGGGGGGGGGGGGTTTAGACTTGGTATGCATGTAAACAACCTCTTGGTTGTTTAGGATTTTTTTGCCAAGGGCAATTAAAAGCATCTTCATTCTCAAACGATTGATGCACGGTGCTCATTTCCATAAACAGCCCTGAGGCAGTGGTGGCAACTCTATATTCCTAAGGCACCCCCGGGGGAGCCTGTCTCTGCAGGACAAACCACTGTCGAGTTACCACCAAGTGTTACTCATTTGATCGATCCTGGAAGGATGATGTGCCGAGTCAACCCATCGAACGTGAATTGAACTAGCGACCGTCTGATTGTGCCGTCAATCACAGAACCTCCCAGACAGATTGTTGTTTTGTGCTGCCTTGCTCGTTTAATTTTCTTTTTAAATCTGCGAATTAAAGAACAGTTGTACAGTTTAACACGTAGGCTTAGCATGGTGTGAGCGAGAAATTGCAGGGCTGCACCGTTACCTACCTTATGTTTACCGACAGGACGTCTGTGCGTGTGCTATGAACTGTCGCCTGATGAGGCTGGTTGTTTTTGTAATTACCGGCGAAAAATCATTGTACTCGAATTGTAAATGTTGTGGGTTTACTCTCCAACACGCCGGTGTGCTGAACTAGTAACTAATTGGCACGTATTATTTACGTGACAAGCATTACTAATTGGCTGTGTCGGGTGGTGGCGGGTTTAATGACATTTATATTTATGCGATCGAACACAAAAAAAACCTGTTATGGAGTTGTTGCACAGTTGACATCCAACATGCAAGGTTAGCTCTTACAAATTTCCCACTCTTTAGCTTATTGCCTTTTGCACTGGTCTCTGACCCCCCCCGAGTACGACCGCCAATACCTGCGTCCGTAACATATGGTCCTCCCACCACGCACGCGTGCCGAACTCATCAAAACCTCCTCTTACCAATCACAACGCTGAACTAAGTTACCCTCCATTAAAACCGTGAAACATGCACCACACACGCACCTCGACCTAAAAGGCCAAAGGTTTTTGTTTGTGAAGCTAATTTATCGCCTTGCTAGTTACTGCCAAATTGGGTACTTGATTACAGCCAATAATGGAGCAGCGCTTAGATTTAAGTAGAAGGATCATGTAACCCAATCAACAAACACCCTTTTATTTTGTGTGTGTGTGTGTGCATATGCAGACACACACCTGGGCTGTGTACAGGTTATACGACACAAGTATAAAGGTTTATAAATAATGATGTACAGCTCTGTCAATCCACTGCAGCATGTAGGCCTTTCCAAGCCAAGGCAGTCATCGCAGTTGTTGGGCCATACCCAAACCTGTCAACCCCTTATCTGCGCCTACCTCATTACAGACCAATTCGGACCTTGCTGGTTACCCCGTGCCCGTTATAAATCTCAACATTCATCCTACAAGTCCTATCATAAGAGAGAAACACAAACAAATAGACAAACATGTTTTGTTTTTGCCCGTATTGAAACGTCTATACGCCATATGGACCTGAAAACTCAATTTCCCTGTACAAGAATACGGGGTTAAACTGTATGGGGTGACAGGTATGCATACTTCCCTATGCCGGTAAATGCTGGTTGGTGAAGAAGTACGGTACAGGACTGTTTCAGGCATTACTCATCACTAATGTTAGAATCTCTGTTGCTGGAGATGGATCATAGTGGCAAAAATTATAAAGTTATTTTACACCTCACTCCACTCACTCCGGTGGAACCTCCCTTAAAGTCACCCAAAGTATTTTCTTGAAAAATCTCATTAATAAAGCTTAACGCTCACGTCAGACGACGCGGAACACAAAGCATAAGTATCAGAGAAATGAGGCTTAACAGTGAGAACAATATCACAGAGTGCAGTCCGTACGATCCATCAAAAGGCACTCACCATCCCAGCCAGGAAGAGGAAGAAGATGACCAGCCATGGGATGTCAGTGCAGCCTCGGTTTTCGAGAGGGGTCCATTGCCTTACAGTCCGCGAACCTTCCCCCTGCAAAGGTCACAAATGAAACCATGAATCTTGATTTTAAGCTTTCGTGACTGCAGGAATCCATACTCTTTGGTTCTTTCGGTAAAGTCACGTAGGTAGAAACATTAATAGATCACGACGTTTTGATCGCAACACAAGTAAACGTCATCAGGTGAAACAAACACCAGGAGAACTGCTGACGTAGGAGCTCCTCCACAGCAGGAGAACTGCTGACGAGTATGAAACCATGAAATCAACGTTCAACTCCGTCCATGCACGCTTGAGTATTGGGCGGTACTCATCACCACTGATAGTCACAGGCCAGTGGTGTAGATGGAGGTGCCTTGGTGGCTAGGAGATGTTAACTCCCTTGCCTGGTATGCAGGAGGTCGTGGGTTTGATCCCGACCCTGACGCCTGTATATTTGGAGTTTGCGTGTCTCTCTCTCTCTCACTCTCCCCGTGGTCTCGTGGATTTTTCTCCGGGTCCTCCGGTTTTTCCCTCCACATTTAGAAGCATGCGTTTAGAGTATTTGGCTGCTAACAATGTCAACGTGATAAGCCACGTCGTTGAGCAATCATTTGTGATAGCCCGGTCGCTTCTGAAAAAGAGCAATCCAGCTCAGCGAGCTTTATCTCATTAAAAAAAAATGTTAGTTTAGTTTAGAAATTCCACATTCCTCAGGTGTATAGCAAGAAATACATTGATACTTACAAAACCTACATCTATAACTTTTTTTAAAAAGCAACACCTGTTACACATCAAAAGCAGCTGAAAGAGCCTGTAGCCCCCATCTACCACATGCGCATTTCCAAAAGTAGTTTTAATTTTAGTAAGCCAACTAAGAATTTTAGCTTTACTGCCCAGGTGCCCAAAAGGTTTAAAAAATGTGTCAGTGAGAAACAAGTTAAAGAACTGGTCAAATAAAAGTGGTGCACTCAAATGACAGACAGACGCATGCTATACTCTTTGGTTCTATTCGGTAAAGTCACGAATAGAACCAAAGAGTATGGATCCTTGCAGTCACGAAAGCTTTAAATCTAGAATTAGTCGCATGCTATCTCCATATATTTTTTTCAAATGTCACGCTTAAAGTGAAACCCAATGACATGCTAGTAATTGCGACCGGTTCTTCACGCGATTCCACTCCAGCCGAGATTTAACTCCCAAGTTATTTTCTCAAGCAGGAATTGCAACATTGTGCGATGCCAATACCAAACCTTACCAATGGCAAACAGATTTTCAATCCCAGGCCGTGTTTTCTCGCATGTCTGAACACAGTCAATTCATGCAGCCGTAGAATGATCAATTGTCTGTGCCATTTGAGAGTGCATCATTGGGCTCTATGAGGCTCTAACCTTAACACGTTCCATCCATTTCACATTATTCCCCAAATGACTTGTTTAAACATGCATCAGGCGCTATCGCCTGGGCTGGCAAGCAAAGGGGCTGTTATGGGTGCTTCCGCATAACTTAATGGGGCATCGTTCAAACTACTGCTCAAAAAGGCATTTCTATTGTTGCTTGCACTGTATAAACCACACCTCAAAAATCACGTGCACAAATATCACCGAGCAGAACGGTGAACGGATACAGCGGGTTAGCATGCTATAAAAAAATGGGTTCGAACTTTTCGGGTGTACACAATTCACTTTTGGATAGCACAGTGAACGTTAATACGGGTACGTGTCCAAGCAAGCCGTGACAGGTTTCTGGCTTGAAGTGAACACAAGCGTGTACCAAGGACAAGTCGCGTGTGCAAAGCCAGCCCCATGCCGAGGCCACCTTTGCATCCAACCTGGGGGAGGCTCAGGGCAGGTTTAGAGATCCAATTGCAACAGATGTTTTGCATGGTCAGGAATTTAACCTACATCACCAGAGTGCGAGAACCTTTAAACACACACACACACAAGAAGCGGGGTTAGGGCTCAGTATTGAGATCCACGCTCAAAATAGCACGGGATTGATGCTAATACACCAGCAAATACGGCCACTTAATGCATGGGAGTTCTCTACAATGGACTCTGATTAATTGCCTTGTCCCCAAGGCCGAACCAATCACGCTGAGGCACAAATCACTCTTTGGTCCACGGTAATACACTGCAGTCAGTTGGTTTCAGCTGGGTAAATTGAGGTCGCACTAATCTTATTTGGTGGCCACAAAACCAGTTGGTAGAACTTCCACATTCTCACGACAAGACCAAGTCTTTCCACGAGATGACCACTGTAGATTTCCCACGAAGTGACGCAGATTTTATATCCTCAAACAACAATGGCATTTACAAATGGTTGGCCATATATTTTAAACTGTAGCACTTAATTGAACGAATTCCAAACCATCTTAGTCAAAGCAAACTATGCCACACCACCCCCTGAGCTTCAATGACAAAATGGAAACATGGACAAGGCGTGTTCTCAAAATAACGCGGGCAGATATATCGTGTCCCAAATATAACAGCACTTTTCTGGGACACCTAAACGTTGGAAGCATTGGAGAAAATTGAACAATTGCACACCCGAAGTTCAAAAAATTGAACGTGCAAAGCAATGTTGACTGGGTCTCTACGCAACGTGGAAACGTCGCGGGCCAGGAAGTCCCAGTTTAGGACTGTACTACGTTTGTGGATCTCAAAAACGTTGCACAACTCCCTTCCTATGGCTTGCCAGGAGAATCCGGTGGAGCAAAGCGTGGACTAATGTCATCGGTGCCTAGCAGGCGTGGGTTTTCTCCGGGTGCTTACCACATATAAAAACTGTCAATTGGCTGAAAACATATTATTATATAGAGGACTGCAGAGCTTGGGAAATTGTTGGTACCGGCTCACCGCCCGGCTGCCTTCCAGCTTGTGTGGTTCCTCGCCGATTGTCGGATGCAATGTCCATGAACGAGAGCGCTAACTAAAACTAAACATTGTTGTTTTTGTACAGTAGAACAGCGGTCCTCAACCTTATTGGCACCAGGGACCGGTTTTGTGGAAGACAATGGGGGGGGTTAATCATTGGGTCTTTCCCGTTGTTCAAAGAAGTTCTCCAGCGACGTTTGTTTTTTACTCATTGTGGCTACTAGGGGTTAGCTTGTGGGCTTACTCATTGTGGCTACTAGGGGTAGCTTGTGGGCCTACCAACACTGTGACTAAGACAAGTACGCAGTGCGGGAAAGAGGCACGGACGGAAGTGGCAAATAAAATAATGGGTGGGCCACGCGCGGACTCACCGCTCACCTCCTGCTGCGTGGCCCAGTTCCTAACAGGCCACGGACCGGGACCGGTACCGGTCCGTGGCCCAGGGGTTGGAGACGCCTGTAGTAGACAATTTAGCATTGCGTTGTACATTCCATAATTAGCTCGTGATTTCTGGTGGTTGGGTTGATCTATACCTTTTCTTTTAAATTGTTTTTATTTCTCCAGACTATGACAAGCAATAGATGTAACATTTCAAGCGGAAAATAGGCTACACTGGGTCTTCGCTAAGCATACATGTCGAGGGGCCAGCCCGACCTGAATTATCCCAGGATTTCAAGGACACGCCAATGTATTAAGACAATGCTGTGTGTTGAACATTAAACCGGTACCGTACATTTTAACATCCCTCCCCTGACCAAACTAAAATGAGCATTGTGAACCTGTGTTGCTAGTAAAGGGAAATGTAAGAATTATAACCAACAGTATGTGAAAAGTACGTGAAAACAATGCCGGTCTGCCGTCACATTTTTTCAGGTAAACGTGTTCATCTGGGTAGCGAGTGTTGGTATGAGGGCCAGGTATGACTTCCCCACATGGCAAGTACATGATGGGGGGCGGGGGGGGCGAAACCAGATATTCCAGCTGCAACCTTGCGTAACAGTCACCACAGCACCGTGTGTATGTGAAGGGAGTTACGCTTGATAATGCGAAATGCCTGCGAGTCTCGTTTTACATTACCTGACTCCTAAACACGATGCAGATGGGGAACCACGGTTTGCACGCATTCAACGAGACACCAACCTAATATTCTTGTGGCTCAGAGTATTCATCATTGAAGAGCCACTTCTCACGTGGAAAGTTTCTCAAAGTATTTACATTCTGAAGCCAATAACCGGTGTCCTTAACGTGCTGGGCGATTATGCAACTGGTTCAGGTGCGGTGTGGCCCTACAGTAAGCAATTGAATAAACTTTAACGAGTGACACCCTCCTTTGCTATGGAACTTGTAAAGTCGAAACCGGTCGAAGGGTTTATTCGATCGAAAATAAATTCTGCTGGAAAATTCCGGGTGGTCCCGTAAGGCCCCAATTGATTCAGCGATTTCTTTTTTTAAATACCTGATATGTTTTCGAGTTAGAGAAGCAAGCATTGCGTGTGTTTTTCCTCTCTCTCTACCCCATAATCAGTCAGGTCTTTTAGAACCCCAACTTGAGCCCCTCTGTGTTCTAAACAATTAAGTGCTGTGTCTGGTGTCTGCGTGCCAGCCTCCTCGAGACGTCTTTATATACATCATCAGGAGTTGGTCATTCGCGCACACAAATAAAAAGTATAAACCACAAACTACCGTTATCGTGTTCACATTTTGCCACGTTTAGAAAACCCGACAGTACAGATTCCAGTCGCTTGTGTAAAGTACGTTACGTAAAAAACACAAGCGAGCTGTCTCGCGTGCAGTGCGCCGTATCGGATTGTATGCATCGACACACGTACACCTACGTCCACTCCGTACATCCACTGCTAGATGACAATCTCCGCACGCCGCGCGGGGTCGTGGGGCTATTTGACCATATTTCATCGTGCCGGTCAGTGCCGGGGTTTGTGCAGGCAGCGGGGGGGGGGGGGGCATTACTGACGTGGGGCAGTGTTCTTTACTCATTTGCAGATCTGGGGAGAGGGCCCCACTTTCGCCGATAAGATCATCATCGGTGCGAGGATGGCCGCCACACCATTTGAAACCATTGTTGGGTTTGACAGCGGCAGCACGATGATGATGGTGGAGGGCTGTGTTCACTCGTTGTTTAGTCACGGGGGGGGGGGGGGCACGTCAGGGGCCGCACTAAAGGCCACCAAGAGGGCCGCCAGTGGCCCGTAGGGCCTTGCAATTTAGAACACTGGCGAAGTGGAGGCATAGGAGTTGCGAGGAACAATGGGCGTTTCTGCACAGATCTCTGGTAACCCAACCACGTAAGCCCGGCCGCCTATCCACAACCTCCGTGAGTTTTTTTTGGGGGGGGGGTTTGATCGCGTAAATATAAATGGGTTGTAAAACCCGTTACCGCCACGGCTTATTTGTAAGGGTTGTCACGTAAACAGAACATGCCTATTCGTTACTAGTTACAGCGCTTACACCGCTGTGTTGGAGCAAATACGTAACATTTACAATCTGAGCACGACGATTACGCGAGTAATTAGTCCGGGTGGTGGTGGATTTAAAGACACATTTATATTCATTTACACGATCTAACCCAAAATAACTATTATGGATGATATTGGTCGCGAAAGCCTAATACGTGTTAAACTATCCGCCACCTGTTCGTGTATGGTGATCACCTATCCAAGCAACTGTCCGGGCTCAACTTTGCTTAGCTTCGAAGATCTGACATCGAACGCCAGATCTGATGAGATCGGGATTTGATAATGGGCAAAAACAAAACCATGTTAATGACAATAGGTTTCCCCCTATTTTCTGGCAACAAAACAAGTGTTGGAGATGTTAAAATACCAAACTGAAACCTTTTAACAAGGAATCATGTCTCCATTCACCACAATACTTGTGGTCAGAATGCAAACAAAAAAAAAGGTACTCTGAAAACATATGCATTGTCCTTTGAAACTGATTGGTCCACACCAGAAACAGCTTTCTTTTGAGCCTCGTTCCAAACGGTGTTAGACCAGTGGATGCCAAAATGTGCTTTATGTTTAAGTTCTTTCGCACCGTCCCGAAGCCAATAGCTGCTGTATGGAGGTGCCCGGGGTAAGGACTACAAACCAAAAGTAAAAAGCGGCTACATTATACGTTGTGCACTACCGTTGAACAGTGTTTTTTGTATGTATACGGTTCTCGTATCGATTGCAAGGCCTCCAAGTTCAAACTCCTCGGCTTCATCGGCAGCTCGTTGGGATTGGCGAAGCGATCCGTGAGTACCAATTTGTTTGTAAAGCCAACCAAACACACCGTGAGTACCAATTTGTTGTAAAGCCAACCAACACCCGTGAGTACCAATCTGTTGTAAAGCCAGCCAAACACCCACGAGTCCCAATTTGTTGTAAAGCCAACCAACACACCGTGAGTACCAATTTGTTGTAAAGCCAATCAAACACCCTGTGAGTACCAATTTGTTGTAAAGCCAACCAAACACCCATGAGTACCAATTTGTTGTAAAGCCAACCAAACACACCGTGAGTACCAATTTGTTGTAAAGCCAACCAAACACCCATGAGTACCAATTTGTTGTAAAGCCAACCAAACACACCGTGAGTACCAATTTGTTGTAAAGCCAATCAAACACCCTGTGAGTACCAATTTGTTGTAAAGCCAACCAAACACCCATGAGTACCAATTTGTTGTAAAGCCAACCAAACACACCGTGAGTACCAATTTGTTGTAAAGCCAACCAAACACTCCGTGAGTACCAATTTGTTGTAAAGCCAACCAACACCCCGTGAGTACCAATTTGTTGTAAAGCCAACCAACACCCCGTGAGTACCAATTTGTTGTAAAGCCAACCAAACACCCCGTGAGTACCAATTTGTTGTAAAGCCAACCAAACACGCCGTGAGAGTACCAATTTGTTGTAAAGCCAACCAAACACGCCGTGAGTACCAATCTGTTGTAAAGCCAACCAAACACACCGTGAGTACCAATCTGTTGTAAAGCCAACCAAACACCCCGAGTACCAATTTGTTGTAAAGTCAACCAACACACCGTGAGTACCAATCTGTTGTAAAGCCAACCAAACCCCGTGAGTACCAATCTGTTGTAAAGCCAACCAAACCCTGTGAGTACCAATTTGTTGTAAAGCCAACCAAACACCGTGAGTACCAATTTGTTGTAAAGCCAACTAAACACCCGTGAGTACCAATTTGTTGTAAAGCCAAACAAACCCCGTGAGTACCAATTTGTTGTAAAGCCAACCAAACACCGTGAGAGTACCAATTTGTTGTAAAGCCAACCAAACACCCATGAGTACCAATTTGTTATAAAGCCAACCAACACACCGTGAGTACCAATCTGTTTGTAAAGCCAACCAAACACCCATGAGTACCAATTTGTTGTAAAGCCAACCAACACCCCGTGAGTACCAATCTGTTGTAAAGCCAACTAAACACCCGTGAGTACCAATCTGTTGTAAAGCCAACCAAACACACCGTGAGAGTACCAATTTGTTGTAAAGCCAAACACCCATGAGTACCAATTTGTTGTAAAGTCAACCAACACCCCGTGAGTACCAATCTGTTGTAAAGCCAACCAAACACTCCGTGAGTACCAATTTAGTTGTAAAGCCAACCAAACACCCGTGAGTACCAATTTGTTGTAAAGCCAAACAAACCCCGTGAGTACCAATTTGTTGTAAAGCCAACCAAACACCCATGAGTACCAATTTGTTATAAAGCCAGCCAAACACCCCGTGAGTACCAATTTGTTGTAAAGCCAACCAAACACCGTGAGTACCAATCTGTTTGTAAAGCCAACCAAACACCCATGAGTACCAATTTGTTGTAAAGCCAACCAACACCCCGTGAGTACCAATCTGTTGTAAAGCCAACAAACACCCATGAGTACCAATTTGTTGTAAAGCCAACCAAACACCCATGAGTACCAATTTGTTGTAAAGTCAACCAACACCCCGTGAGTACCAATCTGTTGTAAAGCCAACCAAACACTCCGTGAGTACCAATTTAGTTGTAAAGCCAACCAAACACACCGTGAGTACCAATTTGTTGTAAAGCCAACCAAACACACCGTGAGTACCAATTTGTTGTAAAGCCAACCAAACACACCGTGAGAGTACCAATTTAGTTGTAAAGCCAACAAAAGCGGTGGGGCCTATTTTTATCGACGCGCACTCGGCACAAGAACGTGGAATTTCCACCGCCGACTGACGACGTCGCCAAAACGTTCGAGCGAGGGGAGATATCCCGGGCCCGCTGCGAGACGCGTTCGGGGTGGGGGGGGGGGGGAAGGCTTTCAAGACGAATCGCGCGCGGTGGCGTTAAAAAAAGCCGCGATGGTTATTGTTGTACTGCACTTTCTATGCCGCTGCCGCTCAAGCCGCCGCCACGGCGGCCACTGATGTCGCACCGGCACGGCACAGTCGCGGCCTCCTCGCCGCGGCGTGCGCGGGCTAAGAAAGGCACAAGGGCTACAAATGATAACCGCGGGGACAGCTGAAGAGCGGCCGGGAGCGCTCTCCATCCAGCAGCGGATCGACCAAGAAACCCCGCGAGAGCGTACAGTGCCCTGTACAGTTCGTGAAGCGTTGGGCAATGGAGGCCTTGGCGCCTGGCAAGTCCCAGCGCGTTCGCTTCCTCCTCCTCCTCCTCAACAACAACAAGAAGCAGCAGCAGCACAGGCGTCTCATTCCGAGGGAGAGACAAAGACGGCCGTGGGCAGAGAGAGAGAGACGCGTGTGTGTGGAAGAGGGGTGGGCGACTGTGCGCCAACTCACCTCTTTGCTGGCGCAGCAGCCCATGGCAAGTGGTGGAGCGGCGGACGGAGGCGAGAATCAGAGGTTTATTATATAAAAATATATATGTGTGTCGTTATTTTTGTTGGGTCCGAACGCTAGCTGCTTGTAATTTTCGTCGCCTTGTAACGTGTTGCGACGGTGCGTCCCGTGTGGATGTTGTTGTTGTTGTCCGTGTGGGTTTCTGTTAATGGTTTTTTTTATCGCTTCAACAAAAAAAAACCCGATGTGGGATCTGCGCGGAAAATCCGCGAGGCCGCCACCACCACCACCACGGCCGCGCACACTCCTCGCGTTAAGTTTCCGCGTAAACAATTGTTAAGCGGCGTGCACTGCGCATGCGCGGCATGGCAGTCCCCCCCCCCCAGTACCCTCCCCCCCCCAGTACCCTCCCCCCCCCAGTACCCTCCCCCCCCCAGTACCCTCCCCCCCCAGTACCCTCCCCCCCCCAGTACCCCCTCTCGTTTCCCTCCCCCTCTCGTCCCCCCCTCTCGTCCCCCCCCTCTCGTCCCCCCCTCTCGTCCCCCCCTCCCCCCTCTCGTCCCCTCCCCCCTCTCGTCCCCCCCTCCCCCCTCTCGTCCCCCCCTCCCCCCTCTCCCCCCTCTCGTCCCCCCCCCTCTCGTCCCCCCCCCCTCTCGTCCCCCTCTCGCCCCCTCTCTCATCCCCCCTCTCACCCCCCGCCACCCCCCTTTTAAAGGGACGGCGTGCAACTCCGCGCGGATCGATTCCCACACGTTGAATCATAATACCTCGTATCCACAATCGATTAGAGTACGTACGTACAATGTGTTAGTTTTTGGGTACGATGTCACCACGGGCAGTTATCGACTTACGAACGGGTTCCGTTCCTGAGACCCGTTCGTAAGTCGAACGGTTCGTAAGTCGGAACACAATAATCCACCGTACTTAAATGCACATACGGCCAGTGTTATAAAATGTGATACGGTTCAACAAAAATGGGAAGAGTTGTCAAACTCATGGATGGGAAGAAATATTGTACACGTGCATGTAATACTGTAATAAATATTGTAAATACAACATAAAATAAAGTAACATGAAAAAAACTGTTTTGTTTTCACTTATCTTGAGTCCGGATGCTGGCTTGCTTGTCGAAATGGGCGCAACGAGTCCCCACAATTGCACACAGAACACGTACACACACACAACAACAACAACCGCCATTCGCCACTAAGTGGCGGTGACGTCACCACGACGCTTGTGCCAGGCTATGTGCACCCTGAGGCCACGTGAAGTGTCGAACGCCCGCTGGCAGGAGGTCACGGGGCAGACCCAGGTGCCACGGGTCGACTGACTGAGATGACTGGCTGATGCACCACCTGTGCCCCCTACTGTGCCAACCTGCTGTGCTTTAGCCACCCGGCGCTCCGCTCGCTGTTGTGAGCGTCGCTCCTCCGCCCTCCGTTGTTGTTGGAGGGCGACTGCCTCCAACTGCCCAGTAGCATCCTTCACGAGCCTCCTCCACAGAGGCCGATCATGACACCGCTAGTACCGGTCATCGGCAAGTCCACTCAGCTCCACGTCCTCCTGTACCACATCACTCCATCTCTTCTCTAGCCCGAGCCGCGCCCGTTTAGCCCCCTCGATCCGGCCGAACAAAAGCTGTTTCGGCATGCGGTGGCTGGGCATGCGGGCTACATGACCCAGCCAACGCAGCCTTGCCTGCCGGAGGAGCTCACCGATGGGACCTTGCCCAGATCTTTCAAGGATTTGTGAGCTCCTCACACAATCCAGCCTGGTTAAACCCAGGATAGATCGTAGGCAGGCTAGCCTAAATGTTTCTAACCGGCGAAGATGTTCCATTAGGGGGGTCCACGTTTCGCAAGCGTAGAGAAGGGAGGGAATGACCGTGGCCGAGAAGACCTGAAGCTTAGTGCGGAGCGACAGACCAGGTAGCTTCCACACAGTGTTACGCAACCGATGAAAAGATATTGCCGCTCGACTGATTCGGAGTAAGACCTCTGCTGTTAAACTGGAGCCGGTCATAAGCACACTGCCCAGGTATGGGAAACTCTCCACTCTCTCCACAACTGCCCCATCACCGATTGGGAGTTGTGGGGGTGGAGTGTCCGATGGTACAAAATACCCAGGCAGGTGCTTAGTTTTGCTGGGGCTGATGGTAAGGCCCCATCTCTTAGTGGCACGCTCCAGTCTCAGCAGCAGCGTCTCCGACTCCTCCTCTGAATGAGCAGCTATTACCAAATCATCGGCATACATAACGTGGTTGAGCAATAGGGAGCCATCCCTTGACCGCACCAGGGCATCGATCAGCCTCCCATTATATCTGTACCATATGGAGATTCCCCGGGTACAGCTATTGAAGGCTTCACGAACTACGTGGTCAAAATAGATGTTAAATAATGTGGGAGCCAGAGGACATCCCTGTCGCACCCCAAGGTGTACAGGGAATGGCTCGGACTCCCGGCCACGTAGTTTTACCCGGGCCCGCTCACCATCATGAAGGTCCTTAATGATTGTGAGCAGAGGGTCAGGTACTCCAAAAGCACGAAGAACAACCCAGAGCCCAGGCCTACTGATGGTATCATAGGCCTTGACCAGGTTAATAAAGCAGAGATGTAGGTCTTGCTGGAATTCCCTACACTTCTGCTGTAGCAGACGGACAGAAAATATGGCATCTGTGCAGGACCGCCCTTTCCTGAAACCGCATTGGGGCTCCGCAAGCCTCTCCTCAGAGTGCCTGGCAAGGCGATGTTGAATAATCCTTGCCAGGACCTTTCCCGGCACACTGAGGAGTGAGATGCCCCTGTAGTTGTTACAATCTGTGCGGTCCCCCTTCTTAAAGATGGGGACCACCAGGGCATCCTTCCAATCCTGCGGAACCCGTCCAGTGGTCCAGACTGTTGTTATGATGTCATATAGGGCAGTCTGTGCACAAACGCCACCCTCCCTCAGCATTTCGCTTGGGAGATCATCTCTGCCCGCTGCCTTTTCTGGTCTCAGACTCCGGATCGCCTTCAGTACTTCCTCAACAGATGGCACTTCAGCCAGCCACTCACAGGGGGTGACTTCTTCCAATATTTGAGGCACCGCTGCCTCAGCAAGGTCATCCTCACTTTGTGCCACGATGTTTTCCTGGCTGAGGGATTTTCCCTCCCCCAGGACCTCACAGAAATGCTCAGCAAATCTGCAAACCTGTTCCTGGGGGTTGGAGATTGGATCACCGTTTTTTCCCCTAATGATGGTAATAGGTGTGGCGCTGCAGGTTACTTTTTTGATGGAGTTAAATATAGATTTGTGATCATGGGCCACTGAGGCAGACTCCATCTCCTCAGCAACCCGCGACCACCACCCATCCTTGCAGCGCTTCACGGCTCTCCGAACCTCCGAGCGAAGGCTGCGGTAAGCCTCCTCATTCTCTGATGTGGGATTCTGTAGCCGATGACAGTGGGCCTGTCGCTTTTTCTCAACCATCCTGAACACCTCCTCAGTCAGCCAGGGTCTCTGGGGAGGTCTGGACCGCGTACCCAAAGCAGCCATTGCAGCTGCATGAGTCACAGTCCTAAACCTTGCCCATTTACCCTCGACATCAGGAGGAGTGGGGGACGATGCCAACCCCTGCCGCAGGCGATGATGAAATTCTCACTTGCAACTTTCATCAGAAAACTGAGACCAGGCCACTTTTGGTTGGAATGGGGTCCTGGGTGTACACCCACCACCGGAGCAGAAGAATGGCAGGCGCATCTTACAGATGACAAGTCGATGGTCAGAGGGCAGATCAGCTCCACGGTAGGTCCTGGTGTCAAGGACATGGGCTCACATCCGCTGGTCCGTCACCATGTAGTCCAACAGATGTTCTTGCTTGGACCCAGCATGCATCCATGATGTTGTGTGGATGCGCCGATGCCGGAACAGCGTGTTGGTAATTACAAGCCCATGGGCTGCACAAAAATCTAGCAGCCTCCTACCGGCCACACACACACAGCCACACACAGCCACACACAGGGCACAACAACAACCGCCATTCGCCACTAAGTGGCGGTGACGTCACCACGACGCTTGTGCCAGGCCATGTGCACCTTGAGGCCACGTGAAGTGTCGAACGCCCGCCGGCAGGAGGTCACGGGGCAGACCCAGGTGCCACGGGTCGACTAAGATGACTGGCTGATGCACCACCTGTGCCCCCTACTGTGCCAACCTGCTGTGCTTTAGCCACCCGGCGCTCCGCTCGTTGTTGTGAGCGTCACTCCTCTGCGCTCCGTTGTTGTTGGAGGGCGACTGCCTCCAACTGCCCAGTAGCGTCCTTCACGAGCCGCCTCCTCCAAAGAGGCCGATCATGACACCGCTGGTACCAGTCATCGGCAAGTCCACTCAGCTCCACGTCCTCCTGTACCACATCACTCCATCTCTTCTCTATCCCGTGCCGCGCTCGTTTAGCCCCCTCGATCCGGCCGAACGAAAGCTGTTTAGGCATGCGGTGGCTGGGCATGCGGGCTACATGACCCAGCCAACGCAGCCTTGCCTGCCGGAGGAGTTCACCAATGGGACCTTGCCCAGATCTTTCAAGGATTTTTGAGCTCCTCACACAATCCATCCTGGTTAAACCCTAGCCTAAATGTTTCTAACCGGCGAAGATGTTCCATTAAGGAGGTCCACGTTTCGCAAGCGTAGAGAAGGGAGGGAATGACCGTGGCCGAGAAGACCTGAAGCTTAGTGCGGAGCGACAGACCAGGTAGCTTCCACACAGTGTTACGCAACCGATGAAAATATATTGCCGCTCGACTGATTCGGAGTGAGACCTCTGCTGTTAAACTGGAGCCGGTATTATTCACGTTGTGTATTATTCACGTTACTTGTTGTGTATTATTCACGTTAGTTGTTGTGTATTATTCACGTTACTTATTGTGTATTATTCACGTTACTTGTTGTGTATTATTCACGTTACTTTGTTGTGTATTATTCACGTTAGTTTGTTGTGTATTATTCACGTTAGTTGTTGTGTATTATTCACGTTACTTGTTGTGTATTATTCACGTTACTTTGTTGTGTATTATTCACGTTACTTGTTGTGTATTATTCACGTTACTTGTTGTGTATTATTCACGTTACTTTGTTGTGTATTTTTCACGTTACTTGTTGTGTATTATTCACGTTACTTGTGTATTATTCACGTTACTTGTTGTGTATTATTCTCGTTAGTTGTTGTGTATTATTCACGTTACTTGTTGTGTATTATTCACGTTACTTGTTGTGTATTATTCACGTTAGTTGTTGTGCATTATTCACGTTACTTTGTTGTGTATTATTCACGTTACTTGGTGTGTATTATTCACGTTACTTGTTGTGTATTATTCACGTTAGTTGTTG